GGTGGCCCTTGGTAGATGGCGGTGGCCCTTGGTAGATGGCAGTTGACCTTGGTAGATGGCAGTGGCCTTGGCAATGGAAGGTCTTTTCTAGGAACCTGTGTGGGGAATCCTCTCCCTTGAGAGGGGGTGTCAGTCTTGGCTTTATGTCTCCCTGGCACACCCCGGGTCCACAGTAGATGCCTGCAGAACTTGCCCTTCCTGGAGGGTACAGAGTCTTCCCTGTTTCTGTCAATGATAGTTATAAAACAAATAAAGGCCACTGTGCCAGGGACTGTTCAGCTTGATATGTATAGCAGGTATCCTTCTGTAGCCTGCGAAGCAAGCTTCCTCCTCATGCTCATTGCACAGATCAGAGGCGAGGTGGGCGGCTGGCCCACGTGTCCAGCGCTGGGAGATGACAGGGTAAGCGCCTGACCCAGCACACTCTGGCACATTCCAGAGCCCCCTTCCAATTCCGAATCACTGTCTCCCCACCCCTCTTTGTACCTCCTTGATCCAGCACCGCAGACCCATCGCTGCCACTAGGCAGGTATGCAGTGGTTATCGCCTTGTGGCTTTCAAATGTTATTGTAGTAAATATATATAGCAAAATCTGCCATTGTAACCATTTTTAAGTGTGTGATTCAGTGGCATTAATTACATTCGCAAGGCTATGCAACCTTCACCATTACCTACTTTCAAAAGTTTTCTCAACCCAAATAGAGTTAAGCATTTTTCAGCACCCACGAAGGAGCCCTGGTGGCACAGTGGTTAAGAGCTCAGCTGCTAACCAAGAGGTCGGCAGTTCAAATCCATCAGCCGCTCTTTGGAAATCCTATGGGGAAGTTCTGCTCTCTCCTGTAGGGTTGATAGGAATTGGAATCGACTCAGTGGCAACGGGCTATTTTTTTTTTTAAAGCACCCATTAAAGGAGCCCTGGCTGTGCAACAGTTAAGCACTCAGCCACTAACCGTAAGATTGGTGGTTCAAACCCACCTAGGGCTCTGCAGGAAAAGACCTGGTTATCTGCTTCTGTAACGATTATAGCCTAGGAAACCCTATGGGGCAGTTGTACTTTGTCACATAGGTCGCGATGAGTTGAAATCGACTTGATAGCACTCCAAAACAGCAACAATGCCCATTAACAGTAACCCTCTCCCCTGCCCCCCTCCCCACCCTCGGCACCTGGTAAACTCTAATCTACTGTCTGTCTCTATGAATTTGTCTATTCTAGATATTTCCTGTACATGGAATCCTACAATACTTACTCTTCTGTTCTGGCTTGTTTCACTCAGCGTAATGTTTTCAGGGTTCATCCATGTTGTAGCATGTATCAGTACTTCATTTCTCTTTATAGCTAATGTTCCATTGGATGTACGTACCACATTTTGTTTATCCATTGGTCTGTTGGTGGACACTTGGATTGTTTCTACCTTTTGGCTGAATAGTGCTGCTGTGAACATGGGATTGGTGTGCAAGTATCTGAGACCAAGCTTTCAAGTCTTTGGGGTATATACCTAAGAGTGGAATTGCTGATTCATATGCTGATTTTATGTTTCTTTCTTTTTTGAGGAACCACAAACTGTTTTCCATAGCAACAGCGCCATTTTACATTCCCACCAGCAATAGACAAGGGTCCCCATTTCTCCCCACTTCGTGGTCTTAATTTATGTTTTCCCACCAGTGCTTTTTAACCTCGAGGGTCAAATGCCCAAATGCTCATGTTAGGTTCAGTAGGACATTTTGTTCCACGTACCTGAACTCATGGGTTAAGTAAACTCATGGGGGTTGGACTGAGGAAAATGGATTCTAAGTGTCAAACAAGCCCCTGCCAGCCCCCTTCTGGGAAGGAATCTGTCCTTACTTGGGACCTGCTGCCCTAAAATGTGCGCCTGGGAGGGGAGGCAGGATTCTGCATGGACATCTTTTCACCCAGCTGATGCGCGTCTTTGTTTTCAGTTGAGAGGGAAAATGTGCAGAAGAGGACTTTTACTCGCTGGATCAATCTACATCTGGAAAAGGTAAGCCAGCCACCTGGGCGCTTGGGAGTGAAGGACTAATCCATGGCTGAGTCACCGTTCAGTAGAGCAGTTGGGGGCGTGGGAGCTCGGTGTTCTTGTTTTTCATTGATTCATTTAATAATTGTTGAGTGCCTCCTCACTTCCAGGTATCCAGCTCACATCGGGAGCATGGTGGTAAGTAAGACATGGTTCTGTCCTCCTGGCTTATCAGTCTAGTTGGGGAAGGAGAGGGTTTATCTTTAAATAGGAAGATGAGCCAGTGTTGGCATTCATTGATTGTTCAGCAACCCAAACACTTCCGTAGACGAGAGGGTGGCCCTTGGGCCCAAGCACAGGTGGACGTCTTGACTTCTAATTGGGGCTCTCGGTTAAGAGCCATTTGAAGGTTTGATTTATGCAAGGACTCTCCATGCCTTTTAACCAAGCCAAATTCGCTTGTTAATCATATAACGTTATTATTGACTAATAATCAACAGTAATAACTTGGGGGTACTTTACTCTGCATTAAGGAGCCTGGCGGCGCAGTGGTTAAAGTGCTCTGCTGCTAACCAACAAGTTGACAGTTTGAACCCATCAGCCGCTCTGTGGGAGAAAGAAGTGGCAGTCTGCTTCAGTAAAGGCTGAAAAACCAGACTGGTTGCCATCAAGTCGATTCTGACTCATAGCGACCCTGTACAGCCTTGGAAGCCCTACTGGGCAGTTCTACTCTGTCCTATAGGGTCACTATGATGGCAGCGAATTTTCACTCTGCATCAGGCACCTGGCTTGGTGCATCACACACGCTGTCTCATTTCCTCCCTCCTTTTGCAAATAAGGACACTGAGGCACAGAGAATTTCCGTGGCTTTCCTGAAATCCCACCGCCAAGAAGGAAGCTTTCTATGGCACCTCCTGCGTAGTGAACTTAGGGACCCTTTTCTCCCCACAACTGTTTTTTCTGGACATTCTATGGCCAGGCGGTTTAGAATTGCATTTGGTCTGCAAGCTTCTTGTGCACACACCATAAAACAAAAGCAGCTGAATTAACTCCTCCCATGAAAGAGAGAATGGTGGGCACCAGAGGAGACCCATGGTGGGAAGTGGATAAACGGCTGAGCGAGAGGAGTGATGTGAAGCAGCAAAACTCTGAACCCTCCTGACTCACGAGCTTAGACCCCAGGACAGTCACCGTTCTCAGTTGCCCAGGGCTGGGGAAGGAGAGGAGACCCTGGGTGGTCAGATGGTTAACACACTCGGCTGCTAACCAGAAGGTTGCTGTTGAGTCGATTCAGACTCATAGCGACCCCGTAGGACAGAGTAGAACTGCCGTGTAGGGTGTCCAAGGCTGTAATCTTTACAGAAGCAGACTGCCACATCTTCCTCCTGTGGAGCAACTGGTAGGTTGAAACTACCTATCTTTTGGTTAGCAGCCGAGTGCTTGACCACTGTACCACCAGGGCTCCCCTGACTGCCTTATATGTAACAAAAAAACCAAAAGATTCCTGACTGCCCTATAGGGAACAAAAAGAAAGAAAGTTTCTTAGAGGAAATAATTGAAATGATTTGAAAACAGAGAAACTAATTATGGCTTTTAGAGAGTGGAGCTCTTGACTGAAACGCTAATTCACATGTTTGACCCCTGGGCCTGCCATCTTTCCCGAGCAAGCACTGGACCCCCACACCTGTGTTCCCTGCCTGTAACAGGGTTACACAATCAGCCAGTTAACCCAGGAGATCCGGAACTCTTCGGGTGAAGGACTGTAGATCACATAGGAAACATTATAAATCATTTGCCAGTTGTTTTGACTCTGGGCACGTTTTCGGCAGTGCTCATAAAGTGAAGTGTTATTTTTGGACGAAAGGGAAACCGCACCCCAAACCTGCACTCATGGAGCACCACCTAAATTAATGCTTGCTGTCTGTCAGGATCACTGGGAAGTCCAGCTGGTGCAGCCATGAAGTGTTTCTGTCTTTCTTTCTTAATTACAAAATAAATATAACAAAAAGTACAGAGGATAATACTGCAAACACCCATGCACCCGGTCGCCTCCCAGAATGAACCACTGTTAGCGTTTATTATATCAAGGATTTTCCCATTGGCCAGCCTCCCACCCCTGCCTCCCTTTTTCAGGGCAGGTGGGTAGCGCCCACTCTGAAGATAAATCAGGTATCACTTGAAACCGATGCCTAATAAACAGGGCAAAATTAACAGCCATGTTTCCAGCCTTGAGACTTGCAAGAAGAACAACCTTTCATGTAAAGGAAACCCAGGAACCCCGTGGTGGATTGGGCTTCACTGCAATTTGCAGGCTGTCAGAAATATTTACTGAGCCTCTGGCTTCTGAAAAAAATTCCTTAATTTACCGAAGAAGTTAGCTCACGAAGACAGCCCTGGGGGTGCTGTTTATTCGGTCATACCGATCTCATGAAACCCACGGAACGTTCTGGGCCCAAGGAGTGTTTGTACTGGAACAGTCTCAACTCTTCCTCCTGCCCTCTTGCTGGATGGACACCAGCCAAATCCATGTTTGCTGTCGCTGCCACTGGGACCGTGACAGAGACTGTCGATGGGAATTACTCGTCAGGTTTAACTCAAGGAGTAAAGCTTGGCCACGGCCGGGCCTGGTAACTGGAAAGTCTGTGAATCCGTTTATTAGGGGGTATGCTGTTGAGGTCCCTCATTGTCTGCCTCGCATTGGCAGGAATAACATTTCCTTCAGCGCCTCGGTAACCTGACACCATCATGCATGGTGTAGCATGTACCCAAGAACTGGGGGGGTTTGCAAAGAAAATATGTGCCTTGGAGTTCAAAGTCACTGTTGTCCTTGGAGCCAAGGCCTTTTCTGTGCACCTGTGGGTGGAATAGCCCAGTGTTTTGACTAACTGGGGAGAAGGGGGCTTGTATAAGGGGTAAGGAAACGCCACCTTCCTTAATAAAAAATAAAACACAGATGTTCCTAGACTGTGATGGGAAGGAGACTTTCCCAGAGGAAAAGGGCGGCTGGATTACAGTCCCACTGCTCTTCCCAGATTGCCCTTACTCTGGGTCTCTGGCAGGCCCTGGGTGGTGCAATGGTTAAGCACTGGACTATTAACTGAAAGGTTATCGGTTCAAACCCACCCAGAGGTGTCTCAGAAGAAAGGCCTGGCTGTCTACTTCCAAAACATCATAGCCTTGAAAACCCTAATGGAGCTCTGTTGTACTCTGCACGCGTGGGGTCGCCATGAGCCAGAGTCCATTTGATGGCAACCAGTTTGGTTTGGTTTTGGGTCTCTGGATGGCCATAGGGGCACTGTCCCTTCCTCCCCCTCCCCACCCCCTGCCACCCCCGCAGTTAATGCTGTCGCATCTGTGAACACCAGCCTTCTAGTATAGCCAGGAGTAGAGGTAGCAGCCAGCCTAACTGCTCTAACTTTGCCAAGGCCCCCAAACCAAAAGGTAAATGGCTAATTCATGTCTCAGGGGGCAGGGGCTTATTAAAAATGCAGGTTCCTGGGCCCTGCTGCCCAGTCCTGTTGCAGAAGCTGAGAACATGCTGCTTTAGAGGAGTAATTTTCAAGCTCGTTTAGTCAACAGAAGGAGTCCCTGGGTGGTGCAGTTAATGCTGCTCACTGAAAGGTGGGAGCTTCCAGTCCACCCAGAGGTGCCTCAGAAGAAGGGCCTGGCAATCTACTTCAAAAAAATCCACCATTGAAAACCCTATGGAGTGCAGTTCTACTCTGACACACATGGGGTCACCACGAGTCAAAACTCAACAGCAAACCGTTACTGGTTAGTGAGCAGAAAACCTTTCTTCAAGCAAAGTGTTATCAGGAACCCTAAATACAGGCCAGTAAGAGCTGAGCCTCTGTGGTTGAAGGGGGTGCTACTGCCTCTTTAGCCCCACTCTGCCTCTAGAGGGTGCCCTGAGGCAGCTCTGCTAAAGCCTAGGGTTCCCCGGAACACAGTTTGCAAATCGCTGTCCTGGAGCAACCCGACTCACCAGCTCCAGCTGGTCCTGTGGACCCCAGGCCACGTCCAGGCAAGCTGTTGGCGGACACTGTGCCTAACCACACAGAAACACGCACCTGGACAGCTGACCTCTGCAAGTCCAGGCCCAGAGAAGAAAGTCAAGGTGGGCTTCTGGCTTGTTCCCACCCAGGCCACCTCCACACTCCAGATCCTGCTGGGGGAGTTGCCTTTTCCCCAGGTGAGGGGGGCAGCCTGGGTGAACGGTGGCAGGGGCGCCATTACTGATTCAGGAGCCCAGGAAGAGGAGCAAGTGTAGAGGAAGACGATGATTCCATAGCTGGCGAGAGCATCTGCCCTCTTCTGCCCTGCAGCCTCCTGGATGAAATGCCGTACTAATGCTGGTGCTCCCCAGCTCTGCAGGCAGGAAGCCCCTTTAGTCAGCTGGTTTTACTGAGGGCATTCATAAAAACCCAGGGAAGCAGGTGCTGCAGCGGGCTCTTTACCTGCATTATCACATTTCGTTCTAGCCCCAGTCCTCGGAGGGGGTCAGATTCCCAACCTGGCCTTGCAGACAAGGACCTCAGGCTGGGAGACCTTAAGTCACATGCCCAAGGCCAAGCCCCTGGTGAGGGTTGAGCCGGGATATGAACTTGAACTTGGCTGTGTCTAATTCCCTTAGTGAACTGGGTGAAGGGTGGATAAAGGGTGCGTATGGAGAAAACGTGGGTTTATCTCAGGAAGCCTGAATTCTGCGGAAGAGTAGGGGGAGTGGCCTTCAGTAGATTAACTTTTTAATATGATTTTAATTAGTTTGATTGTTATAATTTGCATGTATTAACATTGTAGCTAAATAATAAAGGTAAATACATGTGCATGTAAATAAGCCTCTCAATCTTTTGAGTTCCTAACAGACCTGCAGACTCGGGGTGCAGGAAAGGATTCCCTGCTCCTCACCCGACGTCCACGGCTTATCTGGCCAGCCATTCGTCCATCCCTCTCCTTCCCTCCTCACCACCCACGCCCTACTGTCTCGGCCACGGTCCCACCACCTCCAGACTCAGACTAAATATTGATGAAATGATGACAGGAACCTCAAGGGGTGCCCCTAGGAAGATCTGAGCAGTGTTGGGGATGGGAGGGGCCTGGCTGGCATGCAGACTGAGGTCCAGCGAGTGGCCAACCCAGGGTTGCGTCATCACAGTGGGGCACTGGGATGTTCTGGTGTTCAGGCAGTGTGGTCTGATATGGGAAACAGGTCTTTACCAAAGCGCTGATCTGGCCAGACGCTGGGCACATCACCCAGCCTCCTAGAGCCTCAGTTTCCCCAGAGGTCAAGTAAAGGGCTTGCACTACTTAATTTCATGTGAGCCCTAAAAGAATGTTTTTATTCTACAGAACCTACCGTCAAGACATGCCATTTGTCTCTACACTTAAACAAAAGTGTAAAGCTATTCTAATCTTGGGAGTCTGAGATCTCAGGCTGGAAGGATCCCCAAAGATCACTTGTTCAGCAGGCTACCTGATACTGAGCATCCTCCACAGCTCTCCTGCCCAGTGGCCATGCACTCCTGCATGGTCATTACGCCCGTAGGATCCGCTTACTACCTCCTTGGATAGGACTTTCTACCTGTAGACAGAGCTGAATATTTGGAAGTTTTTCTTGAGCTGCAGCCTGCATCTCTGAAATAGTGTTGTGGCTTACACAGGTCACTAATTGGCTACTTTCTTTCCTCTTCTTCCATAGTGCAACCCTCCACTAGAAGTTAAAGATTTATTCATTGATATACAAGATGGCAAAATCCTAATGGCTTTGTTAGAAGTTCTCTCTGGGCGAAATCTGGTATGTATGTCACGGAAGGATCAGGAAGGAAATACAAGGCAGAGGCAAGCATAATGGGGGGTCTTTTTCAATACAGATTTATGTGTCCACGCACATACTTGGACATACGTATATGCCATAACAGGTAGGGTGACATTCCTTTATCAGCGACTAAGAAGGATATAATTATGTGTAGCTAAGCACTATCTTTTTTTTTAAAGCAAATATATTTCAGTAAGAAAGTAAATAAATGCCCAGTGTCTTCTGTGAGTCTGTTAAGTCTAAAGATTGGAACTAGATAATTCAAGTTTAGCTGTTGTTGTTGGGTGCCATCAAGTCAATTTCAACTCATAGCAACCCCATGTGACAGACTAGAACTGCCCTATAGGGATTTCTTGGCTGTACTCTTTACAGAAGCAGATCGCCAGGTCTTTCTCCTGTGGAGCTGCTGGGTGTGTTCGAACCGCCAACCTTTTGGCTAGAAGTCTAGCACTTAACCGTTGCACCACAGGGCTCCCTAAAGTTTAGCTAGGCGGCCTTATATTAACTAGAATGATAGGTAAGAATCAAGGCAATTGAGGAGAAAGACCTCTTACCAACCAAATTCTATAGTTAACCCAGAGACTAAAAGTGGAATGGCTGGCTTCTAGAACATTCTTATCCTGCTATTCTAAGTATGACTGAAGTTGAGCCAACTAGCCGATCTTGACATTCACCCCACTCTGCACTTTTGGCAAACCTCTCTAGGTTGGATGTGTCTCCTGTGTGCAGACTGGCCCTCCCCTTCACGTACAGCAGGGTTTCTCAGCCTTGGCCCTGTTGACATTGGGGTCAACATTCTTTGTTGCAGGGGGCTGTCCTGTAAATCGCAGGGCATTTAGCAGCATCCCTGTCCCTATCCACTCGTACCCACTAGATGCCAGTAGCACCCTCCAGGAGTATTTAATTTCCTAGTAGGTCTCCCAGTAAGCCATCAGCATGGGCCCCAAAAGGCTTCTTGGAAAAGCATATTCTAGGCCCTTATCCTGAGTTCCCACACTCCAGCTCCCCATTTGGCTCTCGGGGCACTGGTCTGCAGCACCGAGTCCTTGGTGGGCCTCAGTGGGAGTCTAACTCCCCAGGTGATGTAGTTCGGTGGATGGGGGTGGTGTAGCCACCCTGCCAGCCAAGAACAGACCTCGGTTTACCCATTAGCTTGGCAGTTCATACCTAGTGGAACAGACACCCACTGGTTTGCCTTGTAATGTAAACCTCCACCTAGAGCAGTGATGAGCTTCAATTCAGGATAAGTTAGGTCCCTGGCTGGCACAAAGGTTTTGCACTTAACTACTAACCTAAAGGTTGGTAGTTCAAGCCACCCAGCGGTGCCATGGAAGAAAGGCCTGGTGATCTGCTTCCGTAAAGATTACAGCCTAGAAAACCCGATGGAGCAGTTCTACTCCTAACATACGGGGTCGGCTTGAGTCAGAATAGACTCCACAGCAGGGGAGTTTGGTTTTGGGTTCTCATGCTGATGGCGCTCACAGGATATAGAACTAATGTGTTCAGACTATTAGCTCTTGTAGGCTGCTTGCTTTCATGTCTCTTTTTTATTTTATTTTTTTTAAATGGGATAACTGTCCACAAAGCTCTTGGCTAGAAAACAGAAACGTGGCCATCAGGGAGGGTCTTGCTGGGTGTTATAGCGGCTGTGCGGGGATACTGGTAGCTGAAGCTCCCGCTGGACAAAGCATCAGCGTGGCAGGAGAGTTGTTACTGAAGGCCTCTGGAGGAGGGAGGAATATAAAAAGCTAAGAGCTAGGTCAGAGAGGAAAATTTGACAAATTTGTCCCTAGTTTAACCCACTTTGCTTCTCCCCATTCACCAGCTCAAGTGAGCTAAGTCCCAGCTACCATAAATAAGGTCTTCCCTCAGGGGTCCTGTGATGTTACATTGTGTGTCCTGGGACACCGCATAGGTTTGGATGCAGTCCAGGTGGGTTTTAGCTGTGAGCCTTTGTCTCGCTCTTGAAATTAATGTGAAAAATGTAAAGAAAAAGAAAGGCACAGCCAATAGCATTTTAAAGGGGCCGCGTTCAGCTCTGGCCAGTGCACCTCGTGTGCAGCCACCCACCACCCATCTGGCAGTGGAGGCTTGCGTGTTGCTATGATGCTGAGCAGGTTTCAGCGAAACTTCTAGACTAAGACAGACTAGGAAGAACGGCCTAGCGATCTACTTCTGAAAAACAGCCAGTAGAAACCCTATGGATCCCACCAGATTTGCAGCCGATCACCGGGATGGCACAGGACCGGGCAGCGTTTTGTTCTGTTGTGCATGGGGCCCCACGAGTCGGGAGCCAATTCAGTCGCAGCTAATAACAATGACATGTTGGTCTTGTCTGTTTGTTTTGTTTTATAGCTGCATGAATACAAGTCCTCATCCCATCGTATTTTTCGGTTGAACAACATAGCGAAAGCACTTAAGTTTTTGGAAGATAGCAATGTAAGTATTGGAAACACACCTTGTAAATACAGGGTTTGTTTTTGTTTTTGTTTTATGAAAAGGGTGTAATTTGGAGTTTAACGCTGATCACAAGAGACACGTGGAAGGGGACTCTGCTAAAATGGTCAAATTAAACTCAGTTTAAATTTAACAGAAGTCACTCAGGTGGTCCATGGTCGGGGGTTACCATCTCTGACTCCCACCCACCCCCAGCATCATCCATCACGGTTAAAACTCCAGTGGCCGTTCAGCACAGAAGGCATGGACTTTTTCTAATATATGTATATTTTTAATTTGGTTGACATTGTCTTTTTTCTTTTTCATTCCTTTGACTAAGAGTACTGTGGGCATGTCAACGTGTCATATTTTCGCTTGGAACTCAAAATGTGAGAAGGAAAGGAGGAAAAAAGGCTGAATGAGCCAGGAAAAAAAAAAAAGATTACAACAATTCCCCTTCTTTGCTATAACTTTCTAGACTTGGGTTCGATTTCTGTTTTGAACTCTGCTCTGTGTCCTTCAGAAAGGAATGGGGCAGCCCTAGTGGGCTGAAACTTGCAAAGCCCCTCGTTCATTAGGTTTCAGCAGTTCATCTGGGTCAACCCCCCGCCCCAGCTTTCCCGAGTGATAGCACAGCTTCATCGTAAAGTGGGATTCACTGGGGTTGTCCGGGATGAGCAGTAGGAACTGAGCCTGGCAGATGGAGCAGAAAGGGAACTTGTTAAAAGGATGCTGAGCAGCTCACGGGATGACTGGAAAAGCTGGAGAACCAGGGGACCCGGGGACATGCAGCGCCAGGACCACTGCACAGCCCCTCCCCAGGGGACTGTGGACCCAGCTGCCACTGCTCATTCACGCCACCCCAGGAGGTGGACATCTCTGCTGCCACCATGCTCCTGGAGTGACCTCTCCACACCCCATCCTCAGTCTGACTCCAGATTCAACGTCCTGGCAGGAGCGCCTGGCTCCCAGCCCACGTCCCAGCTGCCAAGGGGCGGGGAGAGCGTGGCTGTGGCCTTTGGGCTTCTGAAGAGGGAAGTAGCTCTGCCTCCCAACAGCCTTACGCTGGGGAGATCCCCAGGCACAGGGAGTGGGTTCAGATGATGGTGGCCAAAAAGCATGCCACACATCCGCTACTATGGCTCCCCTTTCTGTAGAGCCAGTTACGCCACGACCTCCGTTCTAATGTGGTGGTTAGGAGCTCGGGGCCTGGGGCACCACCACCTCCCGTTCCAGCCATGGCTTCCCACCCACTTCAGCGAACTACGGGAAAATGACATAGCCTCTGTGCGCCGCAGCTGCCGCCTCTGTAAAATGGAGGTGATACAAGGGAGTCCCCGCGTGGTGCAAACAGTTCACACACTCAGCTGCTCACCAAAAGGCTGGAGGTTCAAGTCTACCCAGAGGTGCCTCAGAAGAAAGGCCTGGCAATCGACTTCTGAAAAATCAGCCTGGAAGGCCCTACGGAGCCCAGTTCTCCTCTGGCACACGTAGGGTTGCCATGAGTTGGAGTCAAGTCTATTACAACTCAATGGCAACTTGTATTGGTAATGATAAAACTGCTCCGGAGAGCTGCTGAGGATTGAATGTGCCCATCCAGGTAAAGTATTTGGCCAGGTGCTAGCACAGGATGAGGGCTTCTCGGGCTTCCGCTCTTCCTGCATCGTCCATTCACTGACTGCCATTACATCTGCCTCCTGCCTCCTCCTGGGGTGAGTGTTCACGGTGGCTCTTTGAACAGCGTCTACCCTGAATTCTGGAGGACACGGTCTCATTTCACTGTGGTGCCTGTGAACACGGGCCCAGGGTGCTTGTTGTCCTTCCTTCCGTCTTATCAGCCTCTGAGTGCTCCTCAACTCTGCCCAGCTCCACAGTGAGGGGTCTGCTGTGATACGGAAAGAATCCCCGCCGACGTCTGTCAGAATCACCCAAGTCCATCAAAAGTTTGCTTTCAGCAGTCGTTCAACGCACATTTACAGGTGTCTTCCGTGGTCCTGGAGCTCTGGTGGCGCAGTGGTTAAGCATTCGACCGGTAACCAAAAGGATGGCAGTTTGACTTCTCCAGCCACTCCTTGGAAACCCTATGGGGCAGTTCTTTTCTGTCCTATAGGGTCGCTCTGAGTCGGAATCGACTTGATGGCAATGGGTTTTTGGTTTTTCCATGCTATGCTCCCTGTTGTGGGCATACAGCTGCCGTAGCAACGGGTCTGCACCTTCCAGAAGCTTAGAGGACACGTGGACCACGTGATGTAGTTGACATCAGGGGCATCAAGAGGAGCCAGGATGCTGCAGAGGCAAAAACAAACAGCTGAGCCTGGGCAGCTGGGGTCAGAGGGGGCAGCCGGGGTCAGAGGTGGCGCCGGGGTCGGTGGGGGTGGCCAGGGTCTGCGGGGCATTCAGGTAGAGTACTGGCACACCCACAGCATGATGCTGTGGAAGGTCTGGCCTGGACATGCTGCCACCTGGAGCCCAGCCCCGGGCTTGGCATTTGACAGATCCTCTGCCAGTGCTTCCAGGAGTGTCCACAGTGGCTGCCTTACTGTACCACAGCACATGAAAGCCTTCTCCTCTCTCCTCCTTTTTAAAAAAAAATTTGTCAAGATTCCAAACATGGGTGTGGTCTGTCAGCTTTGTGCCCCACTTGGCCCCATTTAGCAGGCAGGTGGGACAGGTGAGTGGCCCAGTGTGATCGTGAGCACACGTGGGCGGGACAGATGGAAAGAGACATTTCAGATGCAGACTGTGGTCCATTCCTCAAATCCACAGAATGCCCAAGTGGGCCCTTCTGGCCCCTTCAGGTAGCTCTGTCCCACCTCCAGGGAGGACAGGTCACGATGGCTCTGCTGAGCCACAGGAGGGCCCAGGAGCGGGCGACTGGGCCCAAGCAGGTGCCGGGAGGGGCGGCGGCCAGGTCCTGTTTGCTCCAGGATTCAAGTACTGTCAGGCTGCTGTGGGGCTGCCCCGCGTGCCCCCTCTCCACCCACAACCATATCCCACAGAGCATGGTGCTGACTCCAGTCAGAGGTCACTTGCCCCACAGGCCCAGCTCTGGGCCCTCAGAGTCTCAGCCTCCTCATCTGTGAAATGGGCATAACTGGCCTCTCTCACGAGGCCTCTATGAGCATTAAATGGACTCACCCGCGAAAACCACAGGCCACAGATACTCCTCAGGGGGTACCACTGTCATAGAGACCACTATGGCTGTCTCAGCCTCTGAGTTACCGCCCATGCTAGAGGCACCGGCCCAGAGGAGAAGGGATGTTCCACTAAGCCGTCCGCTTGTTTTTCAGTCTGGCAAAGCCACTTCAGTTAGGAAGAGGAGGCGGAAGACGTTGGCCCTGAAGCCCTTGACTGAAGTCTGACTGTTAAATTGCCTGTTCACCACTGAAAAAACAAGCCATGGCTGGGTGCCCAAGGCAAGGCCTGCGGGAATATCTGCTCTTTGGGGCCTTGGCCCCCCTCCATGATCCAGGTTCTCTGTACCTCGTGGGGAGGAGAGCGCTTTATTCTCCAAATGGCGCTCCATCGGGCACATGTGAGCTGGCCCCTTCGCTTGGCATGAGCTCTTGGATCCCAAAAGCCGGCCGCCCTCCAGAGATGGCGCGCTGTCCTTTGGATTCATGGCAGCCCTACCAGGCAGCTCCGTCCCTTTCCCACTTTGGAACGTTCTCCACGGACCTGAGCTCAGGCCTGCCGTGGCTGTCAGTGGCCATTAGGGTTTCCACAGGCGGGAGTAGGGGCCGGGATGATAAAGTTGATGGAATGCTTTGATCCCCCTGAACTGGAATGTGTTCCGTAAGCCGCAAAAACAGAGGGAGCTGTCAGAGGCTGAGGCTTAGGAGCTGAGGAGGCCAAGTATGACAAGTGATTCGTCCTGTAGGATGTGTGCTCCTGAAGAATGTGGACAGAATATTGGACTCTATTGTGATCGGATGTGTGGTTCACAATATTGACAGCTTCCTTCCTGGCCTCCAACCTGCCCATGATGAGTCTGTGTCGTCGAATTACATTCTTGGCATCAGCACGCAAAGCAGACCTCAGCCCAGGAACTTGAAAGTCTCTCCCTGTGTCGGGGAAGCCCAGGCCTGACGGATGGTGTTGTCGGAAACCCTGAACACACTGACGCAGTCAGAAAACAATGTCAAACGTTTTAAAAAGCCATGAGAGAGAGGAAGAGAGGAAAGACGTGGAGGAAGAAGAAACGTTGTTGTATGCAGAGCTCTCCATCTTTTCTTCCCTGAGTCTTCCAGGCAGAATTTTGCAGGCTGGATTTGAAAGTCGACCCTGACTAACTTTATTCCCACTCAGGCTGCTAACTAAAAGGTCGGCAGTTCGAATCCACCAGCCACTCCTTGGAAACCCTATGGGACAGTTCTACTCTGCCCTATAGGATCACTCTGAGTCAGAATTGACTCAGTGGCAGTGGGGTCACCCCTGAAGGATGGTTTTTACGTTTGTAAAGGGTTATTAAAAAAGGAGAGGAAGAAAATGTAACAGAGACTATCTGTGTGGCCCAAAGCCTATATTTACTCTCTGGCCCTTTACAGAGGAAGTTTGCAGACTTCTCCTCTGTGTGCTTAGGAGTCCTAACCAAAAGGTTAGCAGTTCGAACCCACCCAGAGGTGCCTTGAAAGACATGCATGGTGATCTGCTTCTGAAAGGTCACAGCCTTGAAAAACTTATGGAGCACAAGTCTACTCTGCACACATGGGTTTGCCCTGAGTCGGAATCGACTTGACAGCAACGAACAACACTCTATGTTCTTAGATTGTGTCTGCAGAATAAAATGGTGACTAAGGACAATGGTCCTCAAACTTTAGCATGCATCAGAATCACCTGGAGGCCTTGTTAGACCACAGATTGCTGGCACACCCCCAGAGCTGCTGATTCAGTAGGTCTGCGGCGGGGATGCCAGACTACATTTCTAACAAGTTCCCAGGTGCTGCTGATGCTGCTGGTTGGGGGACCACACTTTGTGAACCGCTGCCTTAGAAACCTACCAAGAGCATCAGTCTGTGGCCAGAGCATAATTAAATAAATAGATAATTCTTTAGCTATTTCTGCAGAAGACACCTTTTAACCAGTTGTGGGAGATTTTGTAATGATGCAGGAACTCTAGGTGTAAGCCCTTATCCCAGCACAGCATTTCTAATTATCAATGGATTGGTTATTTTCCGTGGTCCATGATTGCTGATGCTGACATTCTGTGTTTGTCCCAAGGATGCATTAGAGCTGGGGGCTTGGAGATTTTAATGTAGTATTGTTGTTATTTATTGTTAGGTTCTGACTCATAGTGACCCTGTATACAACAGAGCGAAACACTGCCCGGTCCTGCGCCATCCTCACAATCGTTGTTGTGCTTGAGCCCATTGTTGCAGCCACTATGTCAGTCCATCTTATTAAGGGTCTTCCTCTTTTTTGTTGACCCTCTACTTTACTAAGCATGATGTCGTTCTCCAGGGACAAGTCCCTCCTGGTAACATATCTAAAGTATGTGAGACAAAGTCTCACCATCCTTGCTTCTAGGGAGCATTCTGGCTGTACTTCTTCCAAGACAGATTTGTTCATTCTTCTGGCAGTCCATGGGATATTTGGTATTCTTCGCCAACACCGTAATTCAAAGGCATCAGTTCTTGTAGTGTAGTATGGACCTCTTTAAAGTTCTAAAAAGCAAAGATGTCACTTTGATGACCAAGGTGCACCTGACCCAAGCCACGGTCTTTTCAGTCACCTCCTATGCATGCGAAAGCTGGATAGTGAAAAAGGAAGACCGAAAAAGAATTGATGCATTTGAATTGTGGTGTTGATGAAGAATATTTAATATACTGTGAACTTGCAGAAGAACAAACAAATCAGTCTTAGAAGAAATAAAACCGGAATGCTCCTCGGTAGTGCAGATGGCGAAAGTTAGTCTTGCTTACCATGGACACGTCATCAGAAAAGACCAATCCCTGGAAAACGACATGTTTGGTAAAGTAGAGGGTCGGTGAAAAGGAGGGAAATCCTCAGTGAGATGGATTGACACAGCCGCCACAACCACGGACTCAACCCTATCACAGATCACGAAGGTGGCCCAGGAACGGGTAGCATTTTGTCCTGATATGCAGAGGGTTACCACGAGTCAGAGCCAAGCTAACAACCACAGCAGTAACACGTGTAGCATGCAGATGGACCTGTTGGGTGGTTTCCATCTCTCCTTGGAAAAGAGTGGCTGAAACCTTACTAGCTATGTGACCCTGGGCACATTCTGGAATTCCCTCACCTGAAATATAGGAATCATAGCAGCCTCTGCATGGTAGGGTTTTTTGCGAGGATGAACTGAGTTAATATTTGTAAGGCACTTCGAACAGTATCTACACATAGTAAGTACTATGAACGTTAAATATATTAAATACATTGTAGCATGCTGGTGACCTTGGATCGGCTCAGGATGAGCAAAAGAAAGAGGCGTGTGAGGGCATCAGAGTGTAACAGGTTTCTACCTGCCTGGGCCCTTCCTTTAAGCTGATTGCTTGCTTTCTCCAGGTAAAATTGGTTAGCATCGATGCAGCGGAAATAGCAGATGGCAACCCCTCTTTGGTTCTTGGGCTGATATGGAACATAATCCTCTTCTTCCAGGTAAAAATAATTTCCTCTCCGTAACGCACACGGTAAGGCTCTTCTTGGGTCTGCTTAGCACCAACAGAAAACACAGCGGAGCCAGATCAAGGGAGAAAGTGAGATTTAGTGTCTGGCACGTTTTGACTCTTCTGGTTACTGAAAAAAGATCGAGAGGAATCTGTTTGCTGAAAAATTGGAGCCCCAGCGATTTTAAAAGTGGTATCAGCTTTGTTTTTGGAATGGTATATCTCTTGGGACTTAAAGAGTTAAATTAAATATTTGCCTCAAAAAAATAAGTTTGCTCTAAAGTGTCAGAAGCCTTAGAGAGAGCTCGGGAGTAATCCTGACCAAAAATTGAACTCAGTAGAGTTTCTTCCCTAAAATTACTCAAGTGTTCAGCGGAGATGATTAAAGATTGTGTGCTAAGGCTGGCTCTGGAAAGAGGAATATGTGATAGGTGAGCCCTGGTTTTCCATCCAGTGTAACTTCAGCCTCTATTTGGAAATACAGATTTTATACGAAGGATGGGGTCCTGGCTGCAGGGTGAAGGTGGCATTTTAAATTGCACTCAAGTTCATTTCCCCGAATAGGAGCGGTGAGCTGACATCTCTTCATCTAAATCATACCCACCTTTGAAACAGAAAATCACGGTTCATCATTTAATTACCCTCCCCAGGAGTAAAAATGATCTTCACTGGGGTTATTAACGGGAGTTTTGGGCTCAATACTTGGGTCACAGAGAGGAGCAAGCATCAAGAAGGTTTGGAGATAATAGATCCAGTTCTGTGTGAACCTGGGACTGAAGAAAAAGCCCCCTCTGAGCCTCAGTTTTCACCTCTGTGAAATAGGAGCAGTGGGCATACTGTGTATCTCGCAGGGCTAAGGTGAATACTAAGAGAGGCCGTGTCTGAAAGCCCTGTGTGCTTCAGGAGGCTGTAGTTGTTGACGTTCATTTACTAAACTTTCTAACAGATGCTGGAAACATCCTGAAAATGTATTAAAAGTCAGGACCTTCAGTCCACCCCAGGTCTTCGTTCATTTTTTAGTAAATGTTTTTTCAGTGTCTCCTACAGGCCAGGCTCTAGACATTCTAAGTCCTGCCCTCAGGATCCTATGGGATCACAGACCAGCCAGTCCCATGTTGTAGAACTCTGTGGGACAGGCTATAAGCAAGTTATGGGCAGGGTGTTGGAAGCACCAAGGAAGGGCAACTACTTCAGATGGGGGACGAGTGAGGAAAACTTCCTGGAGAAGGTGACACCAGAGTTGGGTTTTGAAGGATGAGCAGGAGTGTGGTGGACCAGTGCTTCTCAAACTGTACTGTGCATACAAATTGCCTGGGGATGGTGTTGAAGGGCAGATTTTGTTTGCGTAGGTCTGGGGCGGGGCCTGGGGTTCTGCAGTTTTCACAAGCACCCCCATGATAGGAGCCACAGTTTGAGGAACAAGGAAAGGGGCATCCAGGCAGCGGGACCAGCGTGAGCAGAGGCAGTGGGGCTTGCGCCAGCATGACACATTAGGGAGTGCAGGCGATGAGAGGGGTGGGGTAGGCAGAGGGAGGTCAGGAAATCCTGCTCTGCAGTGCCCGGCCGGAGCTGGACGGACTCGGGAAGTGCCACCGCACACACGAAAAGCAGCATGGAACGGCCCAGCCATCACTGTCCGTGTGCCTGCCCCCCGACACCTGGCCATCAGGGAGGGGTGTCTCCCTCTCTGGAGAACCAGTTCTCTGTGAGCCGTTCCTCTGGCCAGGGCCCATGTGGCCGAGGTCAGACAGGTGCTCTTGGGCAGGGCTGGTCCGCGCTGGGATCTGAAATACCATCTTCCTTGCAGATTAAGGAGCTCACGGGAAACCTCAGCAGAAACTCTTCATCTTTGAGCCTGTCACCTGGCTCGGGAGGCACAGACTCGGACTCCTCCTTCCCACCCACACCCACTGCAGAGAGGAGCGCCGCGCTGTCCCTCAAAGACCAGAGGAAGGCCATCAAGACCCTGTTGGCGTGGGTGCAGAGGAAAACGAGGAAGTAAGCCCGCGGCCCCCTCTCCACCGCGCCGGTTACTGTGCTGTGTTCAGGCAGAGCGAGGAACACCCTTCCCTGGGGTCGGCACAGGAAAGGGGAGCCCTGGTGGCACAGTGGTTAAGAGCTCAGCTGCTAACCAAAAGGTCAGCAGTTCGAATCCACCAGCTGCTCCTTGGAAACCGATGGGGTGGTCCTACTCTGTCCTGTAGGGTCACTGTGAGTCAGAATTGACTTGATGGCAACGGGTTTTCTTTGTTTGTTTAACGTGTCAGTTATGTGCTGGAGCCCTGGTGGCACAACAGTCAAACACTCAACTGCTAACCAGAAGGTTGGTGGTTTGAACCCACCCAGTGGCTCCTAGGGGAAAAGACCTGGTGATCTGCTTCTGTAAAGATTACAGCCTAGAAAACCCTATGGGGCAGTTCTACTCTGTCCTGTAGGGTCGCTCTGAGTTGCAATTGACTCACCGGCAGCAGGTTTGGGTTTGGGTTTTGGTTCTCCAGCAGACAGTCCCTGGGTGGTACAGATGGTTCATGCCCTCAGCTGCTAACCAAAAAGCCTGGAGATTCCAGTTCCACCCAGAGGCACCTGGGAAGAAAGTGCTGACAGTCTACTTCCAAAATATCAGCCATTAAAAACCCTATGGAGCACAGTTCTAACCTGACACACTCGGGGTCACCACGAGTTGGAATCGACTCGATAGCAACTGGTGGTGGTGGTTTCACTAGCAGCCAGCAGACAGCCCCTGGGCCCGGCAGGGATGGGTGGAAGGCCAGGCCAGGCATGGTGGAACCCGTACCTGATCGGATCTGCCCCCGCTCTGCCAGGCACGGATTCGGTAAGATCTTGATGAGTCACTTACCTCTCCAAGCCTTACCTGCAAAATGATAAGCGATTATTGACTGCCCTGGAGGATGGTTACGATTAAATGCAGTGAAATCTGTGAAAGCCCCTTGCCATAGCGCCAGCACATGTTGTTGTTAGGTGCCATCAAGTCGGTTCCAACTCATAGCAACCCTGCTTACAACAGAATGAAACACTGCCCAGTCCTACGCCACGCTCACAGTCATTGCTATGTTTGAGCCCATAGTTACAACCACTGTGTCAGTCCATCTTGTTGAGGGTCCTCCCCTTTTTCGCTGGCCCTCCCTCCACTTTACCAAGCATGATGTCCTTCTGTAGGGACTGATCCCTCCTAATAACATGTCCAAAGTATATGTGACCTAGTCTCTCCATCCTTGCTTCTAAGGACCATTCTGGTTGTACTTCTTCCAAGACAGATTTGTTCGTTCTTTTGGCGGTCCATGGTGTATTCGGTATTCTTTGCCAACACCACAATTCAAAGGAGGCAGTTCTTTGGTCTTCCTTATTCTTCGTCCAGCTTTCGCAAGTGTATGAGGTGATTGAAAGCACCATGGCTTGGGTCAGGCACACCTTAGTCCTCAAGGTAACATCTTTGCTTTTCAACACTTTAAAGAGGTATTTTGCAGCAGATTTGCCCAATGCAATGCGGCTTTTGATGTCTTGACTGCTGCTTCCATGGGTGTTGATTGTGGATTCAAGGAAAATGAAATCCTTGGCAACATCAATCTTTTCTCCATTTACCATGATGTTGCTTATTGGTCCAGTTGTAAGGATTTTTGTTTTCTTTATGTTGAGGTGTAATCCATAGTGAAGGCTGTAGTCTTTGATCTTCATCAGTAAGTGCTTCAAGTCCTTTCCACTTTCAGCAAGCAAGTTTGTGTCATCTGCATAACACAGGTTGTTAATGAATCTTCCTCTAATCCTGATGCCCCGTTGTTCTTCATACAGTCCAGCTTCTCAGATTATTTGCTCAGCATACAGATTGAACAGGTATGGTGAAAGGATACCACCTTGACACACACCTTTGCTAACTTTAAACCACACAGTATCCCCTTGTTCTGTTCGAATGACTGCCTCTTGATCTATGTACAGATTCCTCATGAGCACAATTAAGTGTTCTGGAATTCCCATTCTCCTCGATGTTATCCATAATTTGTTATGATCTGCGCGGTCGAATGCCTTTGCATAGTCAATAAAACACAGGTAAATATCTTTCTGGTATTCTCTGCTTTCAGCCAGGATCCATCTGACATCAGCAGTGGTATCTCTGGTTCCACATCCTCTTCTGAATCCAGCTTGAATTTCTGCTAGTTCCTTGTCAATATACTGCTGCAGCTGCTTTTGAATGATCGTCAGCAAAGTTTTACTTGCATGTGATATTAATGATATTGTTCAATAATTTCTGCATTCGGTTGGATCACCTTTCTTGGGAATAGGCATAAATATAGATCTCTTTCAGTCGGTTGGCCAGGTAGCTGTCTTCCAGATTTCTTGGCATAGAGAAGTGAACGCTTCTAGGCGCTGCATCTGTTTGTTGAAACATCTCAGTTGGTATCACATCAATTCCTGGAGCCTTGTTTTTCGCCAATACCTTCAGTGTAGCTTGGACTTCTTCCTTCAGTACCATCGGTTCCTGGTCATATGCTACCTCCTGAAATGGTTTAACGTCGACCAGTTCTTTTTGGTATGGTAACTCTGTGTATTCCTTCCATCTTCTTTTAATGCTTCCTGCATCATTTAATATTTTCCCCGTAAAATCCTTCAGTATTGCAACTCTAGGCTTGAATTTTTTCTTCAGTTCTTTCAGCTTGAGAAATGCTGAGGGTGTTCTTCCCTTTTGGTTTTCTACCTTTAGGTCATTGTAATACTTTGTCTTCTCAAGCTGCCCTTTGAAATCTTCTATTCAGCTCTTTTACTTCATCATTTCTTCCTTTGGCTTTAGCTACTCGACATTCAAGAGCAAGGTTCAGAGTCTCTTTTGACATCCATTTTGGTCTTTTCTTTCTTTCCTGTCCTTTCAATGACCTTTAGCTTTCTTCATGTATGGTGTCCTTGATGTCGTTCCACAGCTTGTCTGGTCTTTGCCAGCACATAACAAGCATTAACAAATATCAGTTCCCTTCTCCTCTGTGGATGAAAATTAAAGATGGAAAAGAGGTTGGATCTTTGGGGTTTCACCTGAGGGGGCAAGCATGCTAGATTAGAGTTGATTAATGTGAACAACCATTAAATGTTGTTTAGAAACAAATCAACCAAATGTGATTAATGTCACTGAATTATACACTTAAGACTGGTTGAAACAGCAAATGTTTGTGATACATATTTTGCCACAGCAAGAAAAGTCAATCAGTGAACCAAAAGTTCGTTGCCAGGTGTTAGGGTCGGGGGGAGGGTGTGATGATAAAGGGGAAGAAGTTCTGCTCTTTGGGGCGATGGAACCCTTTGGCGTCTGGATTGCAGGGGTGGTTGCATGAATCTACACTTGTAATAAAGTTTCACGGTGTCATACATCTACCCCCCCGAACATGAGGACGTGTGAAAGGTCCGTAGCGTCATTAGTAGTCCTGCGCTGATGTCAGTTTTCTGGTTTTGATAATACACTGTGGTTATGTAATATGCTAGCATTGGGGGAAGCTGGGTGAAGGGTATACAGGGACTCTCTGTGCTCTATTTGCAACTTGTTGTGAGTCTTAAATGATTCTGAAATAAAAGGGCCTTTTTTTACAAAGAACATTCAGTGACCCCAGCTGAGAGATTGGTGGGCCTCTAGGAGTGGGCTGTAAAGGGAGATTAGTGCCTGGCAGCATTATCTATCTTTATCCCTCACTCTTAAAATTATAATCTTATTGACATTCATAATGATATTAGCTGCCACATAGCGAGTGGCTTCCCTGAACACTCACTGTGCCCACTACATTGCACAATGCGTTCCCATAGGACATTGGCGATCTTTGTATATGTGTGTGTGTGGTGAAAATATGCATGACAAAACATACGCCAACATTGCCGATCTTGTCGGTTCCCCCTATACACCCCGCAGCAGCCCCAGGGAGGCCTCAGTGTGCTGACCCCTCTTTTCCAGCCGAGGACTCTGAGACTCAGAGAGAGTGTGACTTGCCCAAGGCCACAGTGCTGGAAGCATGGTAGGGTCCCTGGGGTATGAACCCAGGTCTTTCTGGCTCCATTTTTATAGCCCAGCACATCTTCTTTTGCGAGTTTTTGAATATCACTGATAAAATTAACAGTTTATAAAATTGCTCCTTTATATGTTTGGGGATTTGGAAACACAAGGCCTTATTTTGCCTCTTTGTGTGATATTTATCTTTCTAGTCTGTTTCTCTGGAAATGGAAATATGAATGGTTCTGTGCAGCTCTCCTGGTGCTTGGGGGCCAGGGCATATTAGCCTTAGAGGTCAGCAGTTGCTAGCCCCACTCGGCAGCTAGCAAGGTGGCTACGTGCTGACCTCTATGTCTTCGAGTTTGTTTGTCATTGTCGTTGTTGTGTGCCGTTGAGTCAGTTTTTGACTCATAGCAATCTCACGTGACAGAGTACAACGGCCCTGTAGGGTTTCTGTAGTCTGTAATCTTTACAGGAGAAAATAGCCAGGTCTTTTTCCCACAGAGTCACTGGGTGGGTTTGAACTGCCAACCTTTCAGTTAGCAGCCGAGAGCTTAACCATTGTTCCACCAAGTTTGTTTACTAACCTGTTTTGTTGCTGTCTCTGCTGTTTTTATTTAGGTATGGCGTGGCGGTTCAGGACTTTGCGGGCAGCTGGAGAAGTGGGCTGGCTTTCCTGGCTGTGATAAAGGCCATTGACCCCAGCCTGGTGGACATGAGGCAGGCTCTAGAAGATTCCACACGGGAAAATCTAGACAAGGCTTTTAGCATCGCACACGATGCCCTTCACATCCCCAGACTCCTGGAGCCGGAAGGTAGCAGTGATTCTCTCTCTCTCTCTCTTCTTTATTGTTTTCATTACAAATATAACACCTGCTTGTGTAGAAATTTGGAAAATACAGAGAAATCCAATAGAGAAATATTTAAGTCACCTACATTCTAGTATTTTCCTATGCATCTAATTATAATATTTTTTAAAATAATTGGGACCCTTCTGCATGTGTATAGTTTCGTATCTTACTTTTTTCACTTAACTTATAATTATGACATAAGTATTTTGTATGTTACTATGTTTTCATTGTATATTTTTATTGGCTGCATAATAGTCCATCTAGTGGACATACTATAATTTACTGAACTCATCCACTGCTGGTGGACATTGAGGTTGTTTCACAAATATTCACTTTATGAATAACACTGCAGTGAACATCTTACTAAATAGAGCTCAATGTCCATCTCAGGTTGTTTCCTTAAGGACCAGCTCCCATCAACGAAGTAACAGAATCAGAGACTATATACCTTCTTAAGGTGCTTGGCTGTCTCAGTCATATTGCTTTCTGTCTGGGTTGGGTGGATTTGGGCCTTCTGCTATCAGTGTAGAGCATACTCTGATAGAGCCAGCAGTGGGCTGGCTTCTCGCAGCAAGGAGTAACGGACAGTTGGGAATAAGGACCCTGAATTCTACCCTGGGTAACACCAACAGCTTGCACTCAGCTACTAACTGAGAGGTTAACGTTTGAACTCACCCAGAGGCACTATGGAAGAAAGGCCTGGCAATCTGCTTCCATAAAGATTACCGCCAAGAAAACCCTGTGGAGTCAGTTCTACTCTGTAACTCGTTGAGTCACCACGAGTCAGAATCAACTCGATGGCAACAGGTTTGGTTTGTGGGTTTGGATCCTACATCTCAGCTTCTCTACTCATCAGCCAGCTGTGAAACTTTAGTCAAATGATTGACCCTCTCTGGGCCTAACTGTCCTCAGGTGTTAAAAAAAACCCAAAACAAAACCCTCAGTGACCTGTGGGGCCCTTCACCATCAAGGGTCCTGTGATCCTATTTAAAAAGTGTGTTATCTCGCTAACTCCTGGATCTCTTAACAGATATCATGGTTGACATGCCAGACGAGCAGTCCATCGTGACCTACGTGGCACAGTTTCTGGAACATTTTCCGGAGTTGGAAGCTGTACGTTTGTTTTCTTTACCTCTCAGTCAGAAACTACATTCCCGTTAGCCGGCCCTCAGATGAAGCGGAACCATGGCCTGTGCTGTTCTGTGTGACTAGCGATGATACTCAAAAGTCAATCTCAGGTCCCTTGAGAATTGTCTTGCCACATTGTAGTTGCCCTTCCACAATTACGAATGCCATTATTAAGTGGAAAAGCAGAACAGGAAGTTGGGCAGTTACACCTCTCGCAAACCTTTTCTCATCCCAGACGTCACTAAGCTTATCACACATGCTCACTTGTAATATGGACTGGCTAGCTGATTTTTCAGATGTCAGATGGAACCTTTTAGCAGTCTACCAGATAGTATCAGAGTGTTAAAAATTATAAAAGATAATGACCATTCAAAAAACACGCCTTTGTATTTCCAGAATCCCAGCTAATACTCGTGACAGATTTTGGGGGGAACAGAGTCCTATTAGAAGCTGTCTTGGCTTTGTTGTCACCCAACCCTTGCCCAGCCCTGAGATGATGATAATGACAGCAACAGTAGCAACAGCCTTTAACTGAATTCATTCGCAGTTTACTGAACACCTGCTGCAGGTTCGGAGCACTCAGCAATAAATGAGGCCAGTAAGGTCTCCACCCTTGCTAATAGAGGAACAGTTAACAAGGCAACACATTATAATTTCAGGTTGTTATAAGTACTGGACAGAAAAAAAATAAACATAAAGCATTGAAGAGCGCCAGGGGTGGTGGGTACTGTCACCGGTATGGCTCTGGGCTGGCTGCCATTCCTGTAGTTCTTCGTGGCACAATGGCATTTTATAGATGCCAGTGTAGACACTCAGAGAGGCTAAATGACTTCTCTAGGGTCACACAGCTACCCAGCACGGTGGGATGGTGGGGAGCTTTATCCTCGGGTCTCTGTGGTTCCAAAGTTCAGGCTCTTAGATGCCTTCCAGCATACAGCTGGATCTGAGACGATTAGGACAGCATATTAACTAATTCAAGTTCATTGACATTGAAAGAACATGAATTCCCATAACTGCAAAGGGCATATTCTTTCCAGCTGCACGTGGTTGTTGGTGTTGGTAGTTGCTGTCAGGTTGGCTTCTCTCCTGGTGACCTTATGTATAACAGCAAAATATTGCCTGGTCCTGGGCCATCTTCATGATCATTGGTACATTCACCAAAATAAGCCATAAAGCTAGGCTCAATAAATTCCAAAGGGAAAAAAGATCCTTAGAATATAGAAGAACTTGCATTTGTGGAGGTTCAGATATCACTGAATGATCCTTACCCAAACCTAAAAGTTTAACCATGGATCTCTATAAGTGTTGATTTGGAAGGGGAGGTGATGGTTGACAGAGAGAGGGTAATTTTCTTTTCCCGTCGACTGTTAAAACGCTTAACACTTCTATTAAAGCTATTATTATTATTAGTATTATTGTTGGAGCCTTTTAAATCCCTTCTAAAGTTTTCAAATCCAACAAGTCTATACTGGGAGGAAGGAGGGCTTCAAAAATACCTAGCCTAGTGTCCTGGCCAGGGTTCGGAAATGTTTGATGAATGAGCTAAACTCATCGGGTGTCTGGAGAAGCTGGGATTTCTGGTCTGTATTCCCTTGGGGGTGTAAAAAAGATGTAAAGAGATTGTTCTGCAGTGAGGCAGCTGTGTTCTAAGAACCGGAATGACTTTGTCCACTCCCGTTCCTTACTCCTCATCCCAGCTGGGTTAGCTCTTCCAGCCCATAGCAAACTACGCAGTGGCCCACAGGTATGCAGCAGCTGCCAGTCTCCACTCTCCTAGGAAGGGATCGTCCTTCTCTGAAGTTTGGTTCATTGCTTCCAAAACATGTTTTGTTTTATTTTATTTATCTGGTGTTTTTGTATTTGGCAGGAATAGTCTTTTGCACAGTGGCTAAGAGCTCAGCTGCCAGCCAGAAAGTCAGCAGTTCGAATCTGCGAGCTGCTCCTTGGAAACCCTGTGGGGCAGTTCTACTCTGCCCTATAGGGTTGCTATGAGTCGGAATTGACTCAACCAGTAGTGGGTTTGGGTTTGGTATATCATAATCAGAACACTTTGCATTCATCTTGAAGTGGCTTTTTTTGTGTGTTTGTCGAGAGAGGCACATAGACCATGCTTAAACACCCTTATTTCATGTCATTCCATGTTTCTTTGCAGGAAGATTTTGTGGATTCAGATAAAGAATTTCCTATTGAGTCAACATTTGTCCGCATCAAAGATACGCCTCCTGAGGAGGAAAGCAGAGTCTTCCTTGTGACTGAAAATGGGGAGCGTGCCTACACCATCAACCATGAGACCAGCCACCCCCCACCCTCCAAAGTCTTTGTGTGTGACAAGCCCGAGAGTGTGACGGGGTTCCAGCTGCAGCCCTGCCTGGGTGGTGCTTCCAGTGGTGCGCTGCCAGACAGCTCCCATGACCTAATGCACCAGATCATCGACCAGGTCCTCCAGGGTGTCCCCTACAAGGCCAGTGACGTCGGTGAGCCATCGCCAGAGACTTCCATTTTATCATCCAGAAAGGACAGCCGCAGAGCCAACTCTTTGCCAGCCAAGAAGACCGTCCACTTTGAGACTGACATTTACAAGGACGCTTCCTGCAGTAAAGACCCTTTCGGCGGTCAAGGTGTTTGCGTTGAAGGGAGCCCGAGAGGGGCAAAGGAGTCTTTGAAGCAGGATGGACACGTCGTGGCTGTTGAGGCTGACGAGGGAAAGAAACCAAAACAGGAAGCCCCAAAGGACCCGGAAGCAGCCTCTGACAAGGCCCTGGATGACGTTTCTTTGGCGGATGCTAAGGCCAGTGACTCTCAGTCTTCCCCGGGTCCTCCCACCTGGAACGGGGCACTGGAGAATACAGCTGACCACATGGGAGAAAGCCGTCCTATTGTGTCACCTGGAGAAGACGCCACTGTGGCTGATTCCTTGGAGATCACGGTTAAGCTGATGAATGTAGAAGCTATGGATAAAGAAGACTATTTTGAAAGCATACCGTTAAAAGCCTCTAAATTTAATAGTGACCTAGTCAGTTTTGCCTCTACCAGCCATGCTTTTGATGAGACTCCTTCACTTCATGAAGACAAGCCCACCGAGAGTGACGCCTCAGAGGGTCATGCTGAAAAACTGGGCAAAAGGATAGCTAAGTCTGCCCATAAAGAGAAAGAGTCATCCGCGTCCCAGGTTACGGCTGACCAACCCGCACCTCACAAGGACCCTGGCCAAGACGTGCAAGGTTCTTTGGTGCCAGAAGAGGCACCTATAGATAAGAAACAAGGGGTATATGAAAAGGCGAAGCAGAAGTCCGTGCGTCATCATGGCGAGGAAGAGGAGGAAGAAGAGGGGTTCCAGGGGGATGACGGAGAACTGCCTTCCAACCCCCCGAGCAGTAGCGTCAGCCTGGAGACCCTCAGGAGTCACAGCGAGGAAGGCCTGGACTTCAAGCCCTCCCCACCCCTCTCGAAGGTCTCTGTCATTCCCCACAACCTCTTCTACTACCCACACTACGAGATGCCCCTGGCTGCAGTTCTGGAGGCTTTCACTGAAGGCCCGGAGGACTTGAAAAATGAAGACGCAGGTCTTGAAGACCCCGACGATTATTTGCAGGACCTGGACTCGAGGGAGGAGGAGGCCGATGACGCTCAGATCGGCTGCAGTTTTTTGGTGACAGGCAAGGAGCTTCCCAGGGCGAGTGACCAGGTGCCATATCTCGACAGGGGAGCTGTGGGCACCCTACGAGCCCCAGACCCCACGCCCTCAGCCCACCATGAGGACCACCAGCAAGGGGAGGCCACTGAGAGCGACCCCTCAGAGAGGGATCAGGTATTTGGTTGTGGGAGGGATTCGGAGGCCCTGCTCTTCAGCTGTGTGCCTGGGGAATTCTGCGCTTCTTTAGAGCCAGGTTCTTCCTGCAGAAAAGAGGGATAAATAGGGATGCCTCCCTCCCAGGCATCCTAGGGTGCAAAATTTAAGGAGGCACTTACCTCTCAGGCTGGCGAAGATAATAGGGTTGGCACCTGAGAATGCGTGCCTCCTTAAATTTTGAGCCCTGGCCACCTGCTGGCCTCACCCTAGCCCCAGCCGGATCCAGTGAGATCACGCTGGAGGGTGCAGCATAGGATAGCAATGATCATATTTAAAACAGTGATCCTGGCTAACATTTAGCAGGCACCAGTGAATTGCAGCCCCCTTTCTCCTTCAGCAAGCAGCGTTGGAAACAAAAGTGAGCCCTCACCTTTGCCTCCACCTGAGGCACTGTTATCCGGTCCCCTGGTTTGAAATGAGTTGTGGCAGTAGGAAAGGGGGAGACACACACTCTGAGCTCGAGCCGCTGGGTGGGTACACACTTAGCTTCCACGAGCTTTCGCTCTTCACCTGAGCCCTCAGCAGCACAAGAGGGGCTGCCAGAGTGAGTGGGTAAATGAAGTCTCGGGGGGCGGGGGCAAGAGGGGTCCCCCTGCAGGTCCCTTGTTAATAAGAGCCCACCCCTACCTCGGGAATCCCGGAGATGGAGCCAAAAGCATGCTGACTGCTCCCCTGCAGATACAGTGAGACGAGGGACTGGGTGAGAAGGCCGGGGAGAAGAGAGGCCTGGCCTCGGCCCCTGGGCGGGCTCACCCACCCACCCTGTCTACCATGTGGACAACAGGGTGCCAGGCACTACCAGGGCAAGCACACTAGGAAAGACGGGCCTTGTCTTCAGTGTGTGATGTTGGGGAGGAGGAGCCCCCAGTAACTGTACCAGGAGGGATGCGGCATCAGACGTGAGGGATGGGGCCCAGCAAAGGGCTCAGGGGTTCAACGGAGGGAGACTGACCCAGCCGCAGAGAGGCTGCATGGGTGGGTGGCCGTGGAGCTGGGGAGGGTGTTCTGGGCACGGAAGGCGAGAATTCTACCACTGAACCGCTGCTGTCCCCCAACTAAATGCTGTAGACACGTGACTTAGGGTGTCAGGGAAAGAGCCTGGATTGGGACATCGGGATTTGAACTCATTCCTGCATGGAGCTAGTCACCTGCATGGAGCTAGTCACTGCCCAGGTCTGAGCCTCCCACTCCTCGTGATCCGTGCGGGAGCGATGCTGATTCTGTTTGCCCACTTGGCTCTGACCTGCTTCCTCGGGCTCTCACCTGTCCGGCCAGCATCTGCCCACTGGTCCCAGCCCTCTTGGATTGATCTCAAGTTGAGCCCTTGCCTGAATGCCTGCAACTGAGTGAAGGGAGGGTGCAGCCCACCATGACAAGTATGGCCTGTGAGTGTTGTCCCAAGACACCAGAAGACAGATCCGGGAGCACGTCTCTGGTACCTGGCTCTCTTTAAAGTAACCCAGACCCACTGCCGTCGAGTCAATTTCGACTCATAGCAACCCTGTAGGATAGAGTAGAACTGCCCCGTAGGGTTTCCAAGGCTGTAATCTTTATGGAAGCAGACTGCCACATCTTTCTCCCGTGGAGCAGCTGGTGGGTTCAAACCACCTCCCTTTCGGTGAGCACACACACTCATTGCCGTCGAGTTGATTCTGACTCATAGCGACCCTACAGGACAGAGTAGAACTGCCCCATAGGGTTTCCAAGGAGCAGCTGGTGGATTCCAACTGCCTCCCTTTTGGTTAGCAGCTGAGCTCTTAAACACTGCACCACCAGGGCTCCAATCATAAATCACTTGTGCCATCCAGGCTCCTTCAGGGAACATTACCAAAAGTAACCCATTGCCGGTGAGTCAATTCTGATTCATAGCAACTCCATAGGACAGAGCAGAACGGCCCCATAGGGGTTCCAAGCAGCAGCTGGTGGATTCAGACTCCCGACCTTTTGGTTAGCACCTGAGCTCTTAACCACTGCAGCACATTAGCTGTTATTTCAGGAGGCGTTTAAGAGAGATTTGTTGAATGGAAGCCCCACCCATTGCCAGTGAGTCGATTCCGACTCATAGCGACCCTGTAGGATAGAGTAGAACTGCCCCATAGGATTTCCCAGGCTGTAAATGGAAGCAGACTGCCGCAACTTTCTCCCACGGAGCAGCTGGTGGGTTCGAACTGCTGTTTTGCTTAGCAGCCAAGCGCTTAACCACTGCGCCACCAGGGCTCCTTCCTTTAAGGAAAAAAGAAAAAAATCTTTCACCAGCCAAGGGGACTCAAAAATAGCAACTTTTTTCTTCTTCCAGTTTAAAAAAAAAAAAATCCTCTCCTCATTTCACCTCTCTGAAAAGGTCGCATTTGCTTGTTGCTGATGGAGGAGGGCTGTCATTTCACATTCCTGAGAGCTTTGGTGATTCTGCAGGGGGCTTTGTTCTCCTGGGGTCCCCTGGCCTGGCCATGCTAATCCTCTTATTCCCATACCTGTTCAGCAGGTTCTTCTACCCCCTGAAGGAATTCTTGAGCAGTGATTCCCACAATTCCCACCCTTCTGGATTTCTCTGCAGAGCATTGCTGCTGGGTTTCAGAGTGTCTGGTGTGGACATAGTGGTCAGAGGACCTTCCTTACCAAATACATGCTAGAGATGCCCCTTCGGCCAGTACACGTGATACACATTTGCCTCTGTGTGTACCCCTCCAAACTCAGAGGCCACCTTTGCACCCCTCGGCCTGCCTGGCTTCTGGGACTCGTTCCTCTGTTGAAGGGGATGATGGTGGCATGAAGGAAGGGTAATCTGGCCGCTGTAAGAGATGTCCTTTTTAGGAAACACTGAAGTGTAGTGGGAAGAGGTTGGTATTTACTGTGCCCATTTGGTGGAGTCCCTGGGCGGCTCAAATGGTAAAGTGCTGGACGACTAACTGAAAGGTTGGCAGTTCAGACCCACCCAGAGGCACCTCAGAACTAAGGCCTGGCAATCTGCTTCTGGAAGGTGACAGCTTTGAGAGCCCTATGGAATGTAGTTCCACTCTTCAACACATGGGGTCGCCATGAGTTGGAACTGACTCAACTGTAACTGCCAACAACATGCCCATTTGACAGACAAGGAAACGGAGGCTCAGAGAGGCAAAGTCAGTTGCTCAAGGTCATATAGCTGGCTCAGCCATGTTCGGAAACCAGATCTTACTGACTAAAACTATTCTGCCTTCACTCTTGCAACTTGAAGCACTGGAATTCTGCTCAGGGAGCCAGAGTCGGGTCGGGCCTCTGGCCCACGGCAGCTGTGTGGAAGGAACCCACGGGAGAGGCAGGATGGGAGGGACACCCTAGCTGGGTCTTAGGGGCGAAGTGGAGTGTGGCCAGTGGCGTCACTTGCTCATCTCAGCATGAAATGCCAATTTGTGTTTGGTTGTTTTTTTAAGTCCCAGAAATCCCCAAACTCGGAAAACTTAGTCAACCCTATAGAAGAAAAGATAAAGGAAGAATCAACCAGCAGTAAAAAAAAGGAGAAAAGGAAACACGTGGACCACGTAGAAAGTTCGATATTTATAGCGCCTGGAACTGTTCGATCCTCGGATGACCTAGAAGAAGACATTGCTGTTCACAAAATTCCCTCCAGGTATTTGATTGATATCTTTCCACCCTAGACATCAAGCTAGAGAGTTGCTCTCTGAACTCACCCCATTTTCAGTTACTGACTCAATGGGGGTCACAGGGGTGGGATTGGACCAGGACAATCCGTATTCATGCAATGACCTCAACCGTTACCAGACCTGCTTGTAAGGAGCAGAGTTGGAAGGACATGAATCTTGCCTTCTCTCCTCACTCTGTGTACCTTTGGGTAGAAACTAGCAGTGCACGGCAAAGTGGCTGAGTCATAGGTAGGTGTGGGGTGGGAAGAGTAATAGATGTGGTGACTCCTGACCCTGACCCCAGATCACTGTGGGCTGGGCTAAGTAGGGGCCAAAGATGGCCATTGATAGCATTGTGCTGACTTAACCACATATGCATTGAGGTGGCCTTTTATCCCTGTCACATGGATGTTGGACATCCATATGGCTTCCGTCACGGGTTTGATTCCCAGGAAGTGGCGACAGTTGATTTATCATGGGAGGAGGGGAACAGGGAGGCTAATGAGCTTTAACTGATCTATGGGACTCTTGTACACCTCTGTTCTGTCACTGCAAGGCCACGGGTTGAGTTGGATTTGTCCCAGGGAAAATATTGAACTCTGAATGTCAAAAGGCCCTGGGCTCTCCGTCACCCTCATCATCATGATAGCACCCAGTTTACCAAGCCCTTCCCGGGTGGAGGCACGTCTCAGCCACGTCCTCGTCAATTCTGTGGTCAGCCCCGCAGGCAGGTAGGTGGGATCATGCCTCATTACTGCAGACAAGGAAGCTCAGGGGGACACAGAACTTCCCCAAGACTTTCACCCTTAGGAGTGGCAGAGTTGGGGTCTTGGGCTCAGGTCAGTCTCACCCCAGAGCCCGTAATCTTCCCATGACCCCCCATTGCTGGTGGTGGTGTGAGCGATGCTGGCTGCAAAGGAAAATGATTGGACATGCATTTGGGGGGTGGGCAGGAGAAGCCCCGACAGACAGCCAGAGAAGGAGCTGATGGGGCACCCAGCTTTCCCCCTCCTCTCTGCTTTGCTTCCACACCTGGCCTGTGAGGAAACAAAGGCAGAGAAGTTGGGGGCAGAGAGGGGCTGGCGATGGAGAGGCACAGCAGAACCAGATGCCAGCTCGGCTCACGACTCTTACAGTCCCTTCCCCCGCCCCAGGGGCATGACAGCTCAACAGACATCTGTGCTTTAAATGTACCATTCCACCCTGCTGTAAATGCAGCTGGACACATTTGGGCAAATGGGCCAGGCCACCAGCTCCTGCACCACAGCTTGGTGAGGGGCCACCAGTCCTGTGCTGGACCACTCAGCTTTTCTCCCCAGGCAGGTCCCTTCTCAGATATTCTTTCAGCAGCCACTATGTGATGGAGTCAGCTAGGCTGGGGACTTCAGGGAGGGAGACAGAGGTCAGGCATGGGGCTGGTTCAGGCCCCACTCTGTCCCCCAGGAGCTCACAGACTAGAGGGACCATCTGGTCTACCAGGACAGGGAGGGACACAGAGGGTATTGTGAGGAAAGTGGAGGTGTCACGTCTTGGACCTCAGAGGCAGGCTGGGAGGACCAGGGAGGCCTGGGCCTGAGATTTCTTTGAGCGGAGCGTTGAGGGATAGATGTGATTCAGGAGCGGGAAAGGAAGGTATTCCAGGTGAAAGAAACAGCGTGAGAAATGGCTGGCACTTAGCAGCACCTCAGTAAACATTGGTAGAATGGAAGAAGTGGGAGGTAGGAACGAGAGGTGTATTGAGGGAGAGCGAGCGCCTTTGCTACAGATATGTGCTGATCACGAAGCCCATCCCAGTGAAGATGAGGCAAAAGAGGACTGTAATGAAAAGTAAACCGCTATTTCAGTGGATGTAGGCATGAGGCCAAGTTGACTTTGCAACGCAGTGGTCTTCCTTACTCTGAGCTCTTGGCGTGGACCAGGCAGCAGTTTCCTTTCCAGCTCCTTCTTTCCACCTCAGCTCAGGCACACCGTGGCGGAGCTGTTCTTATTACGGTGAAAGTTCCACGGCAGATGTCAGCAGAGAGTGTGGGGGGGTGCTCAGCAACATGGACGAATGAGAGACCAGGCACCAGGGTGGGTGCTGAGGACCTGGCTCCTGTGCCCCCAGAGCTGGCGGCGGACTGAGGGAGCACAGTCATTCATGGATTCGTTCCCCCAGAGAAATTAGCCTAACTAGAGAAGAATGTCTATGTTAACCATGATGCTCTTTTAAAGAATTATCTATCTATATGTGATCAAAATGACAGTGGCAGCTTGAAAGGTAGCACCACTTGAAGAGTGTAACCCATGTCACTGAATTGGACATGTAGAAACTGTTGGAGTGGTGTATGTTTTGTTGGGTGTATTTCCACCAAGATGAATGAATGAATGAAATCCACTGCAAACACGCATAGGGAAAATCATGCCCCCGAGTCTCCTGGTGCGAGGGTGTTGGGTTCGCTCTCTAGGGGCCACTGCTGGGTGCCAGGAGCTTTGTAAGAGCGTTTAGTTCACTCCTGCGCTGTGAAACCAGCCAGGAGGAATGAGCCCTGGTTCTGGATTGAGGTCAAGGGGTGACATTTCCCTAGGCCTAGCACAGTCCTGGCACATAGTGGGTGCTCAGTGACTAAGTGGCCATGTACCCAGTGCCAGGGAGGAGCTTGGTGAAGTGTACAGAACAGCAGTGAGAGGAGCGCCAAGGCTGCCAATGATGAATTCCCTGGGAATAAACTCTTAGGTCAAATGACTTTTCCCAGGACACCAGGATGCCTTGCGGAGATGACTCCCCTGTACCAGGACACATCAACATGCAGAACCTAGTTCTCCGGTGAACACCAAACAGGACCACTTTCCCCAACAGTGTCCTGTTACCCCCACCATCACCACCCACCTCTGTGCACTGGGTGGCGTGGGGATGGTGGTCCTTTTGACAGATGGGGAAACTGATCAGAGATGTAAGTACTTGGCTCACAGGGCCAGCTTCTCAGCAGAGGTGCCAGGACGGCAGCCCAGGCCTCTCGGTGTCCTTTGCCTCAGCGCCTGGTCAAACCACCTGTTAAAAGGACAGAGGCATGTTCCACGTCAGCCTCAGATAGGTCAGAAAATCAGCCTTCTCGTGTTTGAAAGGAAAAGAGGCTATGTGCCCACGGGTGGGCAAGCGGAGAGCAGCCCTGGACATGGGGGCAGGCTCTGGAAAGGGAGCCAGCTACCAGCCTAGGCCCAGGTCTGACCTTAGCTTGCAGAGGACTTCCGGTGGGTACCAAGACCTCAGGATGCTTGGAAAAAGAGGCCCCTTCCTGCCTGAAATTCTGCGATTTTTAAGAATGCTTGTTCTGCTTTCTATTTCCAATCCTGCCTTAATTCCTTGTAGACCAGGGCCCATGTGTGTCTCTCTAATATCCATTCTGCTGTTTCTCATTTCTCCTCCTGGGTCTGAAATCGTAACTTACCTGAAGCCCCGCGTGGAGGACTCAGGGTGGGAGGGGGCCGTAAAACTGCGCCATCTGTAAAATAGAGAGCCCTTGGTGGCACCAGTTCAAAACCTGTGTTTGTTTTCCAGGACTAGTCACAGTGACTCCAGCATTTACATTCGACGACATACTAATAGGTCTTTAGAATCGGTTAGTATGTGAATTTGTTCTTCTTCCTTCCAGCCCCTGCTAATCATTTCATTTCCATCCTTCCTCCCCCCAGCCCCGAGCTTTGAAATCACTGTTGGGCAACAGCTATACTTTGGGATAGAAGACAAGCAAACTGAAACCTTGTTAAGCACACTCCAGTTGGATGTCCAGTTTGGGCGATAAGGGATATAAATAAAGTGATGATTTCAAAGCTAGAAGGCCTCTTTGTTATAAAAACACATCTAAGACTCCCCACACCCAAAAGGTCATGTTCAAAGATGGAGGTGCAACATGCAGTGGAGGGTCCGTTTTACACTTTCGAGTATTTAGCTCAGATACGTTGGGACCCAAATCAGCCACGGTCCATGTGACCCCCTAATTTAGGTCCAGGCAGTGGGGCCTTTCCAGCTCACCAGGGGGGCGGTTGGGGAAGGTGTTAGAGTAACAGATATTGTTTAGCAGTCTGGAATTTTGAGAAAAGCATGGCATGCTCGGCTTGGTGTGTTTAAAATCATTTTATTTTCTGTTTCAGAGATTTCATCTTTACTAATTGGGTTGCGGGGGTTTTGTTTATAAATTTCACTGTAGGATCATTTTAGCTATGTTCAATTGAGGAATGCCGCTGATGTGGACGACAGAAGAAACCGAATGTTAACAAGGTTGGTGGCTTTGCTCTGTTTTAAGTTGTGTGGGGTTTATTTCATGTTATTTTATTTCAGTCATGCAGCGTACCTCTTGGGGGAGATTTTTCTCAAACGATGCTTTGTTAACACTATTAATAGTTTGGGATAATGCAAGAAAATACCTGTTCCAGAGAATGAGTAGGAATTCAATAGCCGTGGGAGGGAAAAGTAGATAATAAACAAGGTTGACGTGCAGGGCACAGGTCAAGAAATGACTCTGTCTAAAGATGAGTCTGTGTTATGAGCCGGCACCTGCATTTAAATAAGGCGGTGGCCTGAGACACGTGTCAGAGGTAGAGCCAGGCCCAGGAAGCCGTAGTAATCTTGGGGTGCTGTGTGTGTTCTGTAATGCTGTAGCACCTGACCACCCTCTCCATTCTGTGTTCCCACTGCAGGTACAATACTCAGAAGCTCACTGAGCTGATTTTACAATTTTATGGCATCAGAGCAGACATGAAGAGGGAGTGCAAGCATGCCAGGATGTCTATGAAAGTATTCCTTACTGCGGAAGAGCTAGATGGCTTAATCTAATGTTGCCAAATTGCCGTAGAACTGCCTGCTTAGAATACGGGAAACTGGAAAAATCTCCCCAGATCTGACAGTTCCAAGATGTCCCTATTTCTGTTACAGTCGTTGAGTCCCATCATTTTATTCTGTTTTTCAGTCTTTGCCATGGAGTCGAATTGGCTTGGAAGGCTTTAAATGATGGCATTTAGCAGCCTCTGCGGGAAGCTTGCCCTGCACCCAGGAGTGTGGGCAGTAGATCATCACTGCCCAACTCCTGTCTGAGGCAAGACAAGCTTCCCCTCTCCCGGGAAATGGAAATGTGAATTCCAGTTTTCATCTAGCCCTGGCGCATCCCTAGGAAAATAATACTTTCAGGTTTTAAGAGATAAGGACTTGGAACACAGAACCTGCAGGGCGGAGAAAGCCAGTGTGTTTTCTCCTTCAAGCATTTACAGTGAAGTGCGCCACGACTAGCCAAAAGGGTGGCAGTTCAAACACACCCAGCAGTGCCTCGGAAGAAAGGCCTGGCGATCTGCTTCTGAAAGGTCACAGCTTTGAAAAGCGAATGGGGCACAGTTCTACTCTGCACACGGGGAGTCGCCATGAATCGGAATCGACTCAACAGCGACTCACAACAACAGCAATAAAAATATATAGTTTAAATTTGTTCCAAAAACAGTTTTCAGAAAGGAAAGGAGTGCAGCCAGTCGTTCACTCTCTGCATGTGAATTATATAAATGGTGGTGAACGTTTAACCCCATTTGGGCTCTACTCCTCACCGGATTAGGAGGGAATTCAGGGGTGGGATGGTTTTAGGTTTCCGTAATCTCCATCACACTCCCTGAACCCACCCCGGAGACGCTTAGGCTATAAGCTTCTATAAACGCAGCTTCAAGCCGCGGCCCCTAATCCCCTTTCCAATCAGTTTATGGCCCCTAGCCCTTTCCTTGGTGGAAATTTTGAGGCTGTGTTTGGTCCTCACCACACAGCACCCCTCTGGGCTTCCTCATTATCTACCAGTCAGAAACAAAATGTCATTCTAACACCAGCTTATGTAAAATAAAAGAGAAAAAATAAATCTGACCAAGAACAAATCACGTAGTTTTTTTGTAAAAGTTCTGTCCCAAAGCTAAAAACGAAACTTTCGGGGTGGAGTGTCTTTTTTGTGTTTGTTTCTGATAGCTGTTTTAAAATTTTCTGTCATCTGGGAACTGCCATTCTTTTAGACGACTTGTGATGTTCCCTCCATTACTGACGAGTGGCAGAGAGCTGACAGGATCAATTCCCCATAATGGTGAACTCTCTGAGGGCATCAGGCCATAGTAGAAGGTGTCCTGGACTGAAATCTAGACCTGGCTCAGGTGCCAACTCTGTCACAGAGTAAATGGTGTGACCTGGGGCAAGTCACTCCACCCGCCATGAGTCTCAACATGCCCATCTGAGGAATGGAGCCAGCAGCACTTCCCTCTTAGTCGTGGAAATGAGCTGAGAGTATCTGTGAACACTCAGAGTCCTCTGCCTGGGGTCTGCACTCACAGTGCTGGGGGTCTCCTCGGACCTCGGGCAGTGAGGTTGGAGTACGGGGGGGCTGTGTGGAGTCCACCGCGCTGGGGACCCGCTTGTAACTGCTTGCCTCTGTCTTCCCTTCTCCAGGAAGGCCAACAACTCGGGCGAGGCCATGTTGCCGGGCAGCCACAGCCCGCTGAGCGACTCGCTGACACAGTTTGTCCAACAGCCAGACATGATGTATTTTATCCTCTTCCTCTGGCTCCTGGTCTACTGCCTGCTGCTCTTCCCCCAGCTGGACGTCAACAGGCTCTGATGTGTGTGTCTGGATAATAAAGACGACAGGACCCTGACCAGGGCAGGGCTTCTTACTTCATTTGCTTTTTGGGTTTGGCTGGGGCGTTGCTGCAGACACTCGAGGACGAGGACGTCTGAGGAAACTTAGCCACCCTCCCCCCTTTTTTGTGTTTTCTGTTTTTTTTCTGTCAGGCTTGAGCATGCCTTTCTCTTTGGCTGGGTACTCAGAACTCAGGTGTGTGGCTGGCTCTCTAGGTGAGGATTTGTCTCGTGTGCCTTGCTTTGTAAGATATTAAGCATCGTCATCGAGCTTAGCCGGAACCTGGTTGTTAGCCCACCCCAGACGCGGGTTCTTAGGCCCTGGGTGGACTTGAGTCACTGACCTCACAGGTGAGGGTCCACATAATGCAAAGAGTAGAAGCCCCAGACCGAGCCCCCGCTGGGAAGAAAACTGCCGCATTTCCCTCCAAGAGGGGTGTACCAGGTGGACAGTTGAGGTCTGGAGACTGGTTGTGTTTGTCAGGGAAATTTGAACAGCACAAAGCTGCTGGCTGCGGGGGGACGTGGCAGAATCCAAGGAGGAACGTGAAGCTTTGCTGCGAGCCAGAGTGCACTTTCTCCCTCCTGGTTGTTTTTTTGAGGAGAAGAGTAGGGCCCTTTTCAATTCACTTTTGCAATAATGGGAATTGAGGTCAAGCTGTGTTGTTTTTCCCACCAACGATCACTCCTTGCAAATGAAGTCTTAGTCAGGCCAGAGGAGACCATATGCAGAAAGTGGGGTTCTGGGACCCTGGTAACAGCAACACCACACATGGGTGGCTTTGAAGAACAGAAGGTTATTTTCTCACAGTTCAGGAGGCTAGAAGTCTGAATTCAGGGCACCTGCTCTAGGGGAAGGCTCTCTTTCTCTGTGGGCTCTGGGGGAAGGGCCTTGTCTCCTTCAGCTTAGCCGTTGATGGTTTTCACATGGTATCTATCTTCTCCCCTTTGTGCTTGCTTGCTTTTCTGTCTAATCTGATCTTTGTATCTCTCGTAAGTGATTAGATTTAGGACCCACCATACACTGATAGGAGCCCTGGTGGTACAGTGGGTAAGCATTTGGCTGCTAACCAAAAGGTTGCAGTTTGAATCCACCAGCCACTCCTTGGAAACCCTATGGGGCAGTTCTGCTCTGTCCTACAAGGTCACTACGAGTCAGAATCGACTTGATGGTTTGGCCTGTCTACGCTGATATGACCTCACTAACATAACGAAGAAAACCCTGTTCCCAAACAGGATTACATCCACAGGTATAGGGGCTAGGATTCCAACACGTATTTGGAGGGGGAGGGGCACACACAGTTCAACCCCTAATGACCCCCTCCCACCTTGCCTCAGCTGCCCTCGGCCTTTCAGAGTCTGGCTGCTGGAGCTTCTGTGTCCATCCCCAAGGCGCCACAGGGCAATGTCAGAAGCCCTACTGAGGAGTGGAGAAGGGGCTGGGCTGATAATAAGCTGATGTCAGAGTCAGGAGGGACCCAGCCGGTCCCACCCAGAGAAGCCCTTGCCCACACCTGCCTCCAATGGCACAGACATGCTTTGTGGTCACTCAGAATGGATTCCTTGAAAAGGCTTTCTGGAAAGCACCCCAGAGTGTACCAAATCAGGTAGTTTGTGAGAGGAGAGAAGGGCGTTCGCCCACCCTTCCGCTTTTTCCTGCCAAGATGTGGGTCAGTGGCAATTTATTGCTTCCTCCTTCCCCAGCTTTCCCCCTCAAGAAGCATGTCTTAGCAAGCCTCATACAACTGCAGACTCTTAGAGCAAAGGGACCTTAGGGCAGACAGCCTCTTGTCTAGTGAAGCTGAGAGGCAAGACCACACAGCCGACCAGGAGCAGAATTGTGATGTCACCAGGACACCTGATGCCCCACCCAGAGCGGCCACCTCTTTCAGGATACCTCTGTTGCACCCATGACTGTCCTGAAGAAAAGATAAAACGATTAGATAAAAATGCCCTATTTTTAAAAAAACAAAACAAAATGTTTAGGCCAACTGACCACCTTTGCTTTTTCTCCTGTTTTTCCCACGAGGAAGTCGTGTTCCCTTACAAGATGGCCCCTTCTTACGTCTGAGACGGCCTTGACAGCTTTAACGGCTTGTCAGTTGACATACCACGTTTCTCCCTCCAGAAACTGTGTCTCCTTAGCGCGCCAAGGACAGCTTGTTTCAAGGAGTTGGTTTCAAGTTTACAGAATTCCAGCATGGCCAGAAGAATTTACGTTGTACGTTTGAGTCGATGACAGCTAAAATCTGGCCTCTAACCCTTTCCGATAATAGCCGGCCTCCCCGCCCGGAAAGAGTCTAAACCTTCCAAGCTGAGAGCTGCTGGGAGTGTGGAGTGGTTCCATCTGAAAGACCAAGAGCCCTATGGAAAATGAGCCGATTCATGAGCTCCTTGGCATCCTCCACAGCTCAGAGGCAGAGATAATAAAGATTATGTGTGTGGTGTTTTATAACCCTGGACACCATGACACCATGCCGCCCTCGCCTAAATTAGATGTTGGAAGAGCTGACCCCCAGCGTTGATCATTTCATTTTACGGGCCCAGGCCTTGTTCAGGACTCTCCGCAGGCTGCTGCTCTCAGCCATTACGGTTCGTAATCTTGTTTAAAAGCATCTACTGGCAAGACGCCGAAAAGTCATTTGGTTCAGGTTGGCAGTAAACTGATTTTTTTTTTTTTTTTGAGGAAAGGGGAAAAAAAACCTCATCGTAAATATAGGCCTACGTAGAAGAGGCTAGACTGGTGGATATAAAACCTGCAGGACAAACAATCCAATTCCTTCTTTTTTTTTTCCTTTCTTTTTAATTTTTATCCAAGTAATACATGTTCATAGTTTAAAATTTAAAAAAAAAATCCTCTAAGGCTTTTAATGAAAACTAGCTATCCCCTAACTAAGCCTTGCTCTCTAAAAGCAACACTTTCAACTCTTTTAGCTGCTGCTTCTATTTGCCTTCGTATTTCTACATAACATCCTTATACTTCTAATTTTTAAAATTAACTTAGAAACATCTCATGACTTACTAGGAGCCCTGGTGGCATGGTGGTGAAGCACTCGGTTGCTAATCAAAAGGTCTGCTGTTCAAACCCACGAGTGGTTCCTCGGGAAAAAAGACCTAGCAATCTGCTCCTGTAAAGATTTACAGCCTAGGAAATCCTATGGAGCAGTTCTACTTGGTTCTAGAGGGTCGGGTCGCTGTGAGTCAGAATTGGCTTGACAACACGCAGCAACAAGTGACTTGCTATTATGGCAGAGGAAGATTTTGCTCTGACCCATAACCCCCTGTGTTTTTCCAGTATGGTTAGATCACATTATTTGGAAAGTTTCTACTGAGTGTTGACGTTACTACAGCCACGTAAGGCCTGTTGACCCGAGTCAAGTAGTGTATTACAGTTACATGTTCTTTCTTGCCCATTTCTTTTTTCTTTTTTTTTCCCCCACTTGGCTTGAGATTTGGTTTTTTGTTTGTTTTGATGTGGCATATTCTTTAGGAACTTCCTAAGATAGGGGATATGAGAGGTAAATATGGTGTTTTGAGATTTTGCATAACTTAAATTGTCTTTGTTCTTACACAAGTGTAGCTGGGTATAGAATTGCAGGTGGGAAATAATCCACGTGCTTCTCACTTCCAATGTGGTTGTAGAGATTTCTGACACTATTCTGATTCCCAAGCCTTTATATGTGACTTGTGTGTTTGCGTTTGTTTTGTTTTTCCCCTCCCTTGGTGGTGCAGTTTGTGCTCAGCTACTAACCAGAAGGTTGGCAGTTTGAATTCACTCAGTTGTACTATGGAAGAAGGGCCTGTCAATCTACTTTCAAAAAGGCAATCATTGGAAACCCTATGGAGCATAGTTCTACTCTGCACACATGGGGTGGCCATGAGTCAGAATCAACTTGGTGGGAACTAGTTGGAAGCTTTTTAGTCTCTTTAATCCATTGTGTCCTGAATTGTTATGATGGTGTTGTGTCCTTGATGTTGTGCCTCATGTTGGGCCCTCATGGAAATTTCTTTTTTAAGTTTTCACATTCTTCCTTTGTGGACTTCGCATCATTCCAATGTTGGACCTCCCAAGCTGATCCACTAATGTCTTTTATCTTCTTTATTTCTCACCTCTTTGCTTTTTGCTCTGCTTTCCAGGAGAATTTTTCAGTGTCATCTTCCCAATATACCTGACAAATGTCTCATTGAATTATTTATTTCCAAAACTTTTTGTGTTGTTCTCTTCTTTCTGTTTCATAGCATCCTGTTCTTGTTTCATGGATGCAGATCTTCTCTCTTTGCATATATTAACGATAGTGTTGAGTGTTTTGAAGTTTGCTCTGAATTGTATTGCCTTTGTGTCCTCTAAGTTCCCTTTCTCTTGTTTAGCCTCGGTCTCTGTCTTTCGTGTTTCAAGCTCTCCTCGTGTATCTAGCTATCTTTGGTGGACCTGTCAGTGTTTAAGAATGATACATCAAAAGGCTGGTTGGAAACCCTGTGTGTCAATGGGTGTACTTTTCTGGAGGGTCATCAGGTGAGTACTTGGACTCTTCATTGGGGGCCCCCGATAGCAATATTTGCAGGTCTTTTCTTTGGAGCTTATTCAGCTCTTTGGAGATATTTCCACTGATCTCCTGCCTGGGAAAGAGAGATGTAAACAAGACTGCTAATAGCCTATTTAATGTCCTTGTGTAATTCAGAAAAAAGCGTCCCTTCTAGGCAGAAGCCACCCGTGGACACTTGGCTTGACTGGCAGGAAGATGCAAACGTGAGCTCTAGGGCAAGGCTTAAGGAGCAGAGTAAGGCTTGAAATTGTCCCTCAGCCTGGTACCTGTGTGCAGTGCACACACTATAGGGCCATACCCAGAGACCTCAGTGTACACCTGAGCGCTCAGGTTCTAAGCACTGAGCAGGCAGTCTCATCACCAGTCAGTATGCAGACTCATTGCTTTTGCCTTTGCTGCGCCTAGTGTCCCTGGTTGGAGCCTCTCTGATTTCTCC